GAAACTTTCCGATCGCACCTCGTAAAATCGTCCAACGAATAAGAAATTTAAATATATTACTAATTAACCTGCGTAGAGTTAGAAATACAAAGCTACGCCTTTGAATTTCCAACTTTATGTAGCGCTGTTTCTTTTTACCTCGCTGTATTTTGAATATGAGAGTCGTAGCGCATGTAAATCAGGTGCCCCCTCCCCCTCAAAATGCCAACACTTTGTATGCTCACCCGTATTTTGCCGCAAGCTTCTTCTGTTGGGATTTGTTTTCGGATCCGTGTATCGAACTTAAGGTATCGTCCGGATTTCAATCTGATTTCGTTACGTGATTCAAATGCACACGAGAATATTTTGCTTGTATCCCCTCTGTTCACCGTCCGTCTGGAGACTTTTCTCGATATATTCCCTTACCACGCAGTACAGCGAAGTCATATTATTCATACGATACCAAACGAAATTGTTCTGTTTTTAGCCAGTTGCGAAGCAAATGCGTGATGTTGCGTGTTTCCTCTCGAGAGGCAGACAACTAAAGGCCGTTGTTGTGGTCAGGCACCGTAGGAATCTGAAGACGACGGCTTGAATTTCGAATTTATGTGATCGGTAATAGCAGGCATCTGTAAACTCTTATCTAGCGTGTTTAAGTATCGAACAGGTACAAACGTTTCCGTATTTTGTTTTGGTATATTTTTTTGGTTATTCGTGAAAGGCGTCTATAAATGTTGGTGTTGTATCGGTGTATCTGACTATGCTTTATGTACGGAATCAAAATACTGTAACCAGTAAACTACGAAATGGTGTTATTACCTGCAGTGAAGCCAGTAACTACTTGATGTGATTGAAGGTTCCAACGGCCAGAATTTGTTATTTGACATCTTCTTGTTTCTATGCCGTAGTTCTTACAATATTTTCTTAGTGTTTCATTTCTTAACTGCAATTGTATTATGGCCTCTGTTTGAAATTAATGTTACACACATACTTCCAGCATCCTAAGCCAGGCACTTGGGCGTGTGTTCTATTTTACATTCGTAATTTTAGTTTAATTCTTACGGTAATTTACACCGTATAATTTGATTCAGGAGCCATAATTATTAGAAGTTTAGATCTAAATATTGTTTCCTGATAAAACATAGGATCCGTATTCCATATAAGTAGCTGTGTGCGCGTGGGATTAAAGTGTCTTGAAACATTATATCACTTGAATTAATTTAATGCTTACCGACGGTTTCCATATTCAAGAAATGAGAGGCAAAAAAACAATTGCCCAGATAACCCTCACAGTATTCTTCCAGAAAACACCGACGTATTTTTCGCAAGTAACCATTTTATAACGGAATAACTGACACAGGATCTTTTTAAGGGTATTATGAAAAAACCCAACCGAACAACGCCTTTAGGAATTTATTACCTCAGACAGGTTTTAACTATTGCTTCTAGAGTAATTTATCTCTTGAATTCAAAAGGTCTGAGGCATTCAAGAGCGATGTAAGAAACTATTTGGATGTCATGTTACAATGGGATTTTGTCAGCAATTCCTTATGAATCATCCGCGGATCGACCACTGGTTAGAATGCACCTGTCAAAGTCGATATTCCCTTGCTTGAAATCATAAAATATTGGATTTTGATCTTTTCCTATATCGTCTTTGTAATGGAGAATAAGGTTCTTTATGCTGCCAGAAGTGTTTTGAAGATACCTTTTAACTACACACGGAGCGATTTGGACGTATTACGAATTAAAACACTATTATCGCCATTTTTCATTCTCCTTTTCATAAAGTGCACGTACCACGGAGATATTTGACCGTCTGCAAAAGGCCCATTATCACGTTAAAGCACAGTGGTGACTATATGACCAACCTTCTATAATATTCAATAACCGAGCGGGTATTTAAAAGTTTCATATAATTTTTCTTAAATAACATTAACATATTTTTGTTTTTAATGGAAACGCCTTGTATTTTCTTTGAAGTACAAAAGTGCATTCTTACTATTGTGACTCCGTGTACATTGCAAATCTGCCTCATAACACAGAAGACCATTATCGACAGATTTGTTGATCGAGTTCTTATAAAATCTCACAAATATATATAATGTGCCATAAGGCGTCAATGTTGTTGCTTCACGTAAAGAACGCCTCAAAAATATAATTGTATCAACGACGTGTATTTGAAATATAATTGTGATGATAATAATAGGCTGCTTTCCCTTTACGACGGTCAGTTCTATTTTCTATCAATAAAATACACAGTAGGGCGGCTTAAGTTTCCATGCACATTAAACAGCTAACCGGAAACATCCCAGAACAAGCTTCAGATTCCTATCTGCTTCATTAATTGAAGTTCTCGCCTGTGTTACTTGATTACGGGTTTGGGGGGAACCTGAGTTGATTTCTGTTACATGTCCGTAACTGTGTAAGGATGTCTTCCAGATCTGAGTTACGGTGTCCTGTTTGGTCACGTTGAGAAGGATTTCAGGTGAAGCGTGTGTAGCCTCTTGGGGTTTGCTTCAGTTCCGCCGAACAACATTCTGCAAACTTCAGCGTAAGGACAGACGAATGTCCCTTCGGGTGACATCATTCGTGTCAATTTACTTTGTGTTTGTACTTCGCAGTAGTTGTTTTGGCTTTTTGTGGCTTGATTTATACAAAGGAACGACCAAGTACGTATTTACCAATCAAATAACATGTACGCGACGGTGTTCGCTCCATTGTTTCACGTGCACAATGTAATACCGTGCACGCAACGGAGTCATGTTATTTTGGGACGGCAGTATTGAGCAGAGCATGCGCAAACTGTGTCATACTAACCTCCCTCCGCTCCTCTCACTTCCCACACTTTTTGACACGTTTTACAGACAATGGGAAAATATTGAAATGATTATAGAAACTATTGTTTCAAGACAGAGTTTCGAATTGTGGCCCACAAGATGAAAGGATTGTTTTCGGGCCAATGAAAACATTGCCTAGCCAAAGAAAGTTTCATTGGGCCTGAACCTTATACTATAAGATGATGACGACGACGATAATAACGAATTTTATGGGGCTGCTCGAGCCATAGTTAATAATGGCTCCATGATTTGTCTGCAATCACGACCGTCCTATGAATTGTATAGTTTCTCATCTTCTCTGTGAATATTTATTTTCTTTCAACTAACTTTGCCATGTTTGTGTTGTGTAAGTGAGCATGCAAGATGTTACACTCGAAACCAACGCGAGTGTTCTTATCTACTCTTCAAAGTTAACTTTAAGAGGGGTGGGAGAGACGTGTCAATATGAATCCATTATCTGATTTCTGAAGAGCGTTGTTCTACAAGGTTGAAAGGAGTCGTGAGAAGAGGAGTGGGGAACTTCCAGTGGAGGGAGAATGTCATCAGAGTGCCTCAGGCTACGCTTAATAACGTTGTTTGGAACTTTTTGTTTAGTCAGTCTTCACTTCATACTAAAACGAAGATGGAGTCCTTCTTTCAGAGCATTTAGTTCCAAAGTCTCCATCAGATTACTCGCTATGCTAGATGATTCCTCTCACCACAACATAGTTTCTAAATACACCGGTAGATGGCTGTCCATGACTGGTGCCTATCGATTCGGTTCTCGATACCTCTAGATGTCATAGTTGTCCAAAATAGTTATATTTTTCTTTTTGTAATTAAGTAAAGAATATATATGGTATAACAGAAATATTGGGATGATGAATTCGTACATTGTCTAATGCAGAGGTTCTCAAAGTTTTGCTGACCTGGGACCATGTTATTCCTTTCTTATCGATTTATGTACTGCAAGATTTAAAGAGGACAGTGATTTTTTTTTCCATGTTGGATTTATGGTTTTCACGGCGGTAAGTACGCAGATAGCTGTCTTCTCGGTGGTAGGGCCGTGTAGTCCATCATCAGTTAATTAATTTGTGCTTTGAAGATGGCTGTCTTCTGTGCTGTTGCGCCGTGTAGTCTATTAGAATTTTACCGACGTTTCAGAGGTCATCATCAGGGCGATAATGGATGCAGCAATGACCTCTGGAACGTCTGTATACTTCTACCAGACTACACGGCGCAACAACCCAGAAGGCAGCCATCTTCGGACTCACCGCCGAATAAACCTCAAATCCTACAAATTTGTACTTCGTTTTCTTTGGAAGTAAAGACTACCAAAACTTCAAGTGTCCAGAATTAATACATGGATCTAAATACAAATTAAAGAAAAACCGTGCCTGCAGGGTTAATGTGAAGATAAGTTGTAAACCTAACATGCACAGTTCATGATGTTATATTTGACCAGAATTATGTCCTGTAGTATCAGCCGACTTACAAGCATTTACACGTGTCACACAGTACCAGTTCGACCTTAACGGAAATTGACGAACTTTTACGAACGCTTGACCAAAGAGACAGTAGACAGTCGCGTTCGTACGTGCAAGAGTGGTTGACGTGAAGTTTGTTCTGAGTGTTTATTTCGTCTAATATTAGTGTGTGCGAGGAGAACAAGGTGTTTTATTGTATTTACTACAGTCTATATAAACGTGTAAAGTTTAAAAACTGATTCAAATGCAAACTGAAATCGTTCTACTATGAACTTGGGGACGCTAAAAACTTAGTCCGTTGGTTGCTGTGTGCTGTTCTGCCACGCAGCCGAGTGGGAACGTCGTCCTATGCGAGTGGCTGAGGTGAGTAGACATGGAAGAAGTAAATCTGATATATGTTAACGTTAAGTGATCTTACTTAAATCTGAAGATTTTAATACATTTAGTAGGTACCTGTATACAAATTACAATAACGACGACTCCGAAAATTATGCACAGAATGTACAAATTTATTACGCGCTTTCTTTTGTACGTTCACAGACCCTGCAGATTTATAAAACACGGAGTATATGTAATTTTTTATTGATTTTTAATAAATGAAATGGCACTTTTCCCATACAAAACCGGGAGAGAAGTCCTTGGTGTTACTGCTCGGAGCTAGTCTCACACCGTGGCTCAATCTTCGTTCTATCAAATACCAGAATACGCCCAATAGAACATGGTCCTTGCGTCGACTCCTTATAACACCTGTTGTTAGGTGGCCAGTATATGAGGTCATCACAAGCGCAGTGGGATGCCCAAACTTGGAGATATTCTAATTGATCTGGAAAGAACAGTCTGTCGCTGGTCTTCACGTTGCAACGAAAATGTGACAGAGCGTTCGCCTCGTTGGTTATCAGAGCAACAAGTGTATTGAAGAGCAGAAAACTATATGATGTGGGAGTCATCCTTAAGCAACCGGTCATGATGGGCGATCCGTATTTCACAGAGCCAATGACCTCGACTCTTAGAAAGTAGTGCGACTGCTACGTAACCTGGAATTTGAAAAAGTATAGTCAGTGAGGATGATTCAGAGGTGGTCTCAGACTGAACTGAGTTGAGCTGGTCTTAAGAATTAAATACTTTACAGTATCTTGGGGCACTGAAATTCTCATAGAAGTGTAACGATTGATAATCGGGCATTCGATTAAATAAATTACTCATTTAATAACATTCTGAAGTTTCGCACACGTTTCGCGGAAGATTTTGTGTAGCGGTGATTTAATCATAGTAGGGTTATATGACGTCAGTGAATAAGGAATTGAGAAGGATATGGAAGGAAGAGATAGTGGCATGATTTCAAATACAATCCCCGTATTTGCCTGGGGGTATAGCCAAGATTTGAACCCACAATCTTCCAAATAAAAAGGAGGAATGTAAAACATTCGACTGAGACTTTTGTTATGTTGTTTGTGACTCATCTGAACAGTCCGAAAATAAACTCCGGTGTGTGGCATTAGAATCCAAGTGACGTCACAGTCTCACGCATCGGACATTTGTAATTACAAAATATTCAGGAGACACTTGCGTTTGTCAGTATTTTCCCTTGGAAATGTAATGTAAATAAAAAGCAATTGTAACTGGCGTAGCTAATGAGTCTGTGTCTCCCCCACCCACAGAGTAGCAATTTCAACTCGAAGCTATTAAAAGGAATTTTATGTTTTAGAAATTTAAACACATTCTGTGTATTTCAACTTCTAGGACTGCTTATAGCGTTTATTTTTACGCAGTCTATAGACCCGCCATCAGGTTTGCATTACAGCAAATAGTATACGAAATTAATTTAATTTAATTAACACTGAACAATATCTGAACGCTGTTTGGTTCAGCTTATGATAACTTAATTACATGCATGGTTAACGTACCTGGCCATCATTGCCCCACTGGTTTAGTCGTCACTGATGAGTATCGACCTAACGTCAGAAGTTGCCACACTGAACCCGTGTAGTGACTGACATCTCCTGGTCAGCCACTGTTTTATACTGAGAAGTCACGACTCTGACTCGCGAACCGGAACTTGGCGGCACTGCCTTCTGCCAGGGGTCTCAAACCTGTTTCGTCCTTCAGGACTCTACAGAGCAATTTATTTGAAATTGCATGCAGCAGTGATTCAACTTTTGCACGTGGCGGCCTACGCAAAGTATATTCAGTATCACACTCAACTCGTGCACGTAAGTACTATTACAAAATGCCTGTTGAGATTAAACGAGAAACTTTCGTGTCTCCATCCAGTACATTTATTTAACCTCTACGTGTCTTCTGCCCCTCTATTCTCCGTATGTCTTTTAGAACCCCATCGAAGTAAGACAAATGTCTGCCGTGCAACGTACATCACTATTTATGCTTCTAATTGCTCTCTAACTTTAGCAGCAATTGTTAAGATACTATTGTTATCCTGTGCCATTATAGAGAACTCTTAAGTTTCTTCGGGCGTAACAAAAAGTGACAGTGGAACCACGGTTCCGGAGAATTTGAAGTAAATACGTCTATACGGAAAGGAAGTTTATTCTAAATATTTCCTTTATACATGCTTTACAATTGAGATAAGTTTGATTAAGACTTTGCTTATTTAACTTGAATTAGTTACGCTTAAGATGGGTCTGTGGTAGCTGAATGTAATGAAATGTAATGTAATGTAATGAAATGAAATGTAATGTAATGTTTTATAGGTAACAATAATGCCGAGTAAACAATTGACGTTTCATGGGGATCCAGGTTACACTTTTTCGTTCCCTTTCTTGCCGAATGACCCTTCAATATAGACGTATTAACGTCAAAAGATGAATCGAAACAAGCAAACATCCAAACTGGGTCATGTAATTACACGGTGTGATCTAAGCCTATTTTAAAATGCTGTTTGAGATATTTTCCGTAAGCACTGTGGAAAAAGCACGGAAAACCTGAGTCAGAAGTCTTTTACTGCCGAGACTCTAATACGCGTCACAAGTTCAAATCTGAGGTAACGTGCTCAGTAGGTTGATAGTTAGACGAAATGCTGAAAATATGACATCGGAAAACATGCCTCTGACCTTTGAGGTCGAGTTTCTGTCAGGTCTGGTTGTTACTCGACGGACTTTTTCAACCTCAGGTTGTTCCAAACTCATTTAGCTGCACGTTTTTAAAAATGTATCATTTATGTAGCGACAACAGGGTTTTGAAGGATGTGCAAGGAAGGCGTGTCTGATGGAAATCACGAAAGCATATCCGGTCCTGCGGCAGCGAACCTAACCCAGAACCTCTCGCCGTTACATGGCTTGAGACAGAATTCTCAAGCGATTACTTCATTCAGTGGTGGTGGAAAATCCTTGTTAATCGTGACGCAAGAGGTACTGGAAACTTCGATCGTTTTGCAGTCCAGCGTGTCATTTATTATGCAGTGGCCAATCAAGCGAGGGGAGGGAGGAAAGGCGTCTTAAAGAAGTAACCTGTTTCCTTGCTACACGGCCATTCATAACAACATTCAGTTCCCGGTGTGAGTTGGTGGACACTTACGGCAATGAAGCAACTTTACTACGAATGATACCAGCAGCTGAATTACGAGCTATGGCAGATAATGGGACTAATATTTTGATGCAGAAACTAACTGAGTAGTGAGGTGTGTTACGGGCTGGTTAGCTAGGGTTTTATTCCGGGAGCAGGCAAGAGAATTTATTTTTCCAAAATTAAAGCGAGAAGCCGAGAATAGGGACAACTGGAGAGCTCTGTTTGGGCAGAGCAATGGACCTGTCGTAAGACAGAACACTTAATAAATAAAAATAAATAAACCACGTCCGGACGGGCTGTGGGGCCCGCACAGCCTCTTATCAAGTGAGCACTAGCGTCTGGTGTCATGGTTGTAAGGTGACCGAAGCGAGAAGCTAACCACTAGCACCGAAGTTAAGAATGCGCTGCGTTGTGATTCACTTCCCTTGCACATTTATGAACAGCATAACATTTTCCTTTAGATTTTCTGTGTGTAAAGGCGAGGGGTTTAAGTTTTCCTGAGAATAGAGTAAAACATGTGGTATGAATTTCAATCAAAACCAATCCACCGATTCTTGAGTTATACGAGAACACAGCATAAAATACCTTGATTTTTTCCGAAAACATTAAAATTTTAGTACACCTCTGTTGGAATCACTTATTACTCCGATCAACATAAAGCGAGTTACGCTGGGTCTGGACCCTGATTATTATTTATCGCCGCTTTCAGTGGCTCAGACTGTATTCAAGCTGATTATACCGTTGAATTTAGGATGCTAATAAACAAGGAATAGGTTGGGATTGGAGGGAAACCATAGTATCCACTTTGAACTAGTCCTATCCCGGAATTTGTCAGAGGGGAATAAAAACACTAAAAATCTCAATCAGGATTGCCGGTCTCTGGACAGAGTTTTGAACCCGTGATCTCCAGAATAGAGTGTGGCAGGAAGCTTATGTCTTGTACATTCCACTGTGAATCTTTCTAAATTATGCGCCCTAACTCAGATGTGACACAAACAAATAACTAGGTGTAAATGAGGAATCGGGAATCTACCGTGTGGTCCAATGCAAATACGCATTAATCACACGAACGTTTCATATAAACAGCGGGATAATGTTTGTTGTCGCAAGCAGACGGGCCGAACGTAAATGTCGTTGAGAAGCACTTTCCCTGCGTCGTATCGAAACTCTGTAGTAAATTAAAAGTGCGGATAGAACTCATTAATCAGCAGAGGATGGGGAATAGTTGACAGGCAGGTGGAAAGCGGACATCTTTACTGACGAACAATATGCTTTAAGACTTAATGTTAGAAGTTTTCTATCAATACATTGTTTCAACTTTGCATCCCAGTTCATAACCAGGCACTGCATGTTTATGTTTCATTGTTATAAACGTCAGAGATGAGTTGCAACAACGACAGGATTTGTAGTCACCTCAGATTCAGATGTTCAAAACATCTGTTACAAAAACTTGCTTACAATTTAATCATTAGCGAATTTGTATGATTATTCACTGGAAAGCTTGTTTTAATGAAAATTAAAAATTCTAGTCAGGCGTGAAAAGTGTGCTCTGTTACGTATCGCCGTCATCTTACCTGGTTGTGTGGACGTTAGTGATGTCGTTAACTTACGTTCGTCAGAAACGCCTAAATTTATTTCAAACAATTGATGTCAGACACAGAGTTGTTTATTTGTATATTTATGTTGTCATGCAATTTGTTAACATGGATTAGAAACTTAAGTGACCAATTCAGTCCCAGTTCTCTTCCTTCCTTAGCAATTTAAAAAACAATCGGAGTGAATTATTTCGCTGTATACCTGGCTGTAAATAGGAAGTGGCACATAAGACAAATATTTACTTATACGCGCTTCGCTGATAGTTTCGTTTCAACACATTTCGATGAGCTTAACCAGTTTCACGTGTATCCAGAATTCAACGAAAATGTTTCTGGCATATAATACATCTGTCCCAGATGAATCAAAGAATTTCTTGCTAGAGTAAGTCAGAAACTTTTGTTCAATATCATATTTTGGAAAAGGAATTCCATTTATATTTCCTTCTGTTGGTTTAAAGGTAGTCGATGTTGTAAATATCCCAGAAAATATATACTTCCGTTTTAGGGTAGAGTAATCTGGCCGTTGTAGGAAAACCAGGATATAAAAATATAAAATAATTTGTATAATCTACTATTAAACAAGACTAACCTATCAGTATTTTTTAAATATGAATGCATTAAAAGTAATAAGCCTACTACATGGTAATAAATCACTCGTTTAGACATATCAAATAACCCACGTGTAGAGAACAGAAGCATTCTGGCGTATGGGAAGTTCACGGCACTCGATACAGAGTATTCAATTAGTCATGTAGTTCCTCTTGTATGAGATCCATGCCCTGTACTCCCTGTTCATTGATTCACATAATTGACGCTCGTGTAACCGAGTCGATTTGACCCGGGATCACGTAACCTGTCCCCTCTGTTATACTGCGCCCATTTACGTCATATTACGCTGGCTGGAATCTCTCCTTTCCACATTAAAATCGGTTCACATAGCGTCCCCTTTTCACTGCAAGATGACAGAGCATGTGGGAATAATATAGGGCATTTTCTTTTGATTCTCATAAACTAAACACCGTGCATTTGTTACAAGTCTACCGTGGAGGATATTTTAAGGCTAACTGAATTATTTTTGGTAGATTTCGTTTTTACATGAACTATCTTCATGACATACGCGGTACGTCAACCACTAGCCGGTATAGAAGTGCACTGATTTTATCGACCACAAATATTTATTACCGTATTCATAAAAGCCAGCCAATCGACCTTATCTTCAGATAATTTTGTTAGTCTACACGTCCTTCCAAGAAGCCCCTTCCTTTGACGTTTTTTCTGTAAACTTTCATACGAATTTATAATTTCTTCCGGGAGTGTTACAGATCGTCTGTCTTATCCATCTTATGCTGTTGTACTAAATTTGCGTTGCCACTCTGATAGAAATTTATGTACTAAACTAGAAAACTGCCACTAAAACAAATCACGAGTGTGTTTCAAAATGCTCGCATCACTTACTAACATCGAAACTCTGAAGGTGTGTCACAAGCATGGATTTAAAGAATGGCCAATTTCAGAATTTATCATTTCGGAGACCGTTATTTATTATGTTTTTTTCTCATAATCTTTCTCAGTTCCCCATAAAAATTATTTTTGCAATAACTAATATAGGTTGAAATATTTAATATTATATCTTACTTAATTTCGAAATGATTCCGAAGACACAGGACCACAATCAAGTAATCGGGTAGGAAATATTCCATTAAAGTTGGTAGTTTTGCTGATTAGGTGTTAAGTTTCTTTAAGTCTCAGAGAGGTGTCACTTCCTGCCATCTGTTAGATTTGTAGCGTACCATTTCAACTGGGAACTTGCGTCATCAATATTTGGCTCCTGTGTATGCAACCCGCAACGAAAGATGGAAGCACGTTTTGTACTGTTCTTGGCATTTCGTGGACGAATGGACCCTCACTATCAGAGTTTGTGT